GTTTGACACTGGTGATCTCTGCAATATCCCGCTCCTTGCGAACTCGTTCGCTCCTCCGTTTTCACTGTCTGGTGTCTTACCGTCGTCCTTAATTTTTTTTGGTTTTTTTTTTCTTTTTCTTCATTTTTTTTCTCCGATTTTCTCCATTCTGATTAGTTTCCCCTCCGGGCCGCTATTTCCACTCGTTGTATGTAGTCTCCTATCGTGATCTCATGGTTATCTATGCAAGCAGGGAGGCCATGCTAGGGTTGACACGGTCCTTTATGGGGGCCGTGTGCAGGGCCAGATCGGCGTAAGTCAGGAATGTTACATCTGAGCCTACTACTCACCAATAACCAATTGGTGACGAGTTTTGAACCTATCCGGAGGAGTGCCAAAGTTTTACCGGGACGGGAGCAGCCGCACTATTAGCCCACTCGCCATTTCAAGAAGATGTCACCCTTCTTTACTCAGGGCGCAGAATAACACGACTGTCAGCCCTGTAGCGTGGTATCCAATCCATTGTGCCGTGTCGTGTCTATAGTTCCATATCGTGTCCAGTATGCCGTAATTTATTTATTTATTTATTTTGTCTTTCTTCATCGGACTTAACGTGTCTAAATGAAGCCTGATGGGGAAAAGCCTAGAAAAGGCGTAAAAACCCCATATTTTTTTTTTCGAAATACATGAATCACAATAATACGATACAATTACAACGAACATTAATAAAGTCTATAGCATAAAAAAAGTTATCCTCCTATAGCATAGAGTTGTCCGTGAACCAGGTAGAAGTCCTCGTCATGCAGTTGAACCGAAAACAAAAAATAAACAGGTAGCACAATCTTTCACGAGTACATTGAATGGACAGCTACTCACCTTCTCAGGAGTCTGCGTTGAATACGGTGACGAAAGGTTTCCGCTGCAAAGTCGAAAAACTCGTAAAACTCGTTGAAACGCCCAGACATGAACCGTATTGGGTCATGCAAGCTGTAGTTCGCAGCACGAGGTCCAAGATGCAGGAAACTCCTCGACCGAAGAACTCGTTCGGGTGCGTAGATTTAGAATTCAGCCAAGATTCCTGGAGAGTCGATATCACCAATAAGTACTTTCGCTGCGAACACGGCCTGACAAATCGTCCGGCTATGTTCTAGTGTTTCAAGACCCAGGAGTTGACAACGATCTTTGTACGGCGGAAAGTTCACAGGGTCATTCCAAGGAAGGTGACGAAAGGCATACCGAACAAATTTCCTTTGAACAGATTCAATCCTCGCTATCCAAACTGCTTGATACGGGCACCATACTACCGAGCTGAATTCCAAGATCGATCGCACTAGAGAGCAGTATAGAGCTTTTAGACAGGCAGGATCGCGAAACTCGTCAGCGATCTTGAAAATGAACCCGAGTTGCCTGTTAGCTTTCGCAACGATGCCCGAGTAATGAAGCTTGAATGTTAAGGCGCAGTCAAGCGTGATTCCTAGGTCACGAACATTGTCCACACGTTGCAGAAGTTGGTGATTTATCGTATAGTTGAATGCCACTGGTTTCAGCTTGCCATGAAATGAGATAATATTACATTTTTGTACATTCAACGTGAGATAGTTTCTTTAGCACCACTCTTCGAAAGTATCGATTAGTTGCTGAAGCCGTAAGCAATTGGCGAAGCTACGAACAATCACATAGATCTTCACATCATCCGCGTAGAACGTTCGGCAACCAGTTGGGAGGATCAGTCTGGCCTCATTCACAAAAATCGAGAATAGCAATGGTCCCAAGTTGCTACCCTGAGGAAACCGGAGCTGTTTGTAAAATAGTCCGATTGCTCTGATCCGATTCTAACACAACGTTCCCGATTGGTCAGATAGGACTTGAGCCAACGAGTTAAACCCGAGGATACACCGAGTTTTTCAAGTTTAGCTAGCAGTATGGAGTGGTCAACTCGGTCGAATGCAGCCTTAAGGTCTGTATATACAACGTCCACCTGCGCTCCAGATTCCATACTCCGAAGACATAAAGAAATGAACGGAGCTAGATTTGTTGAAACTGATCTCTTGGGATAAAAACCGTGTTGGTCAGGAGAAATGTAATTTCTGCAGCTAGAGAATAATGCGTCGTTGATGATGATTTCGAAAACTTTACAGCAGGCAATTAGTAATTCTCGACGTTTCTCTTGTCTCCTTTCTTGTAGATCGGGAACATGAATGACGATTTCCAACGCGTAGGGAACTCCCCCTGCTGTAATGAAATATTGAACAGCTTCGAAAGCGGTGTTGTAAGCTCTGAACAGCATCGCTTCAGGATGCCTGAGGGGATCCCGTCAGGGCCAGCAGCATTAGAAAATTTCAGCTTCTTGATGGCGGATTCGACGAGGTCTACTGTAACCGAGGTAATCGAAAAATTGAAAGCAACACTGGTAGTGTCCCTCACCGCTTCAGCAACTTGGGACAACGAAGCCGTAGTGTCATTGAAAATGCTTTTGAAATGTTCTGCCAGAAGATTACATTTCTCAAGGGAATTGCTGGCGATTCTATCACCCAGGTGAATTTCGACTGGTAGCCCCTCCTCATTTCGTTTGGTATTCACGAATAACCAGAACTGCTTTGGATTAAGCCGTAAATTAGCCTGCACACGCCTTGTGTAGCTCTTGTAAAGAATGCGGTTATATGTGCGATATTCGTTGCTCGCTGTTGAAAATAATCGTTTGGTGAATGGGTTACGAGTACGACCGTATTTACGGAGGGCCTTCGATCTCAGACGCTTCAAATTCTGTAGTCGAGCATTGGACCATGCGGGTTTGGGAGAGGGTCTCCTTAATGGGACAGAATCAGTTATTGCCCGGCCAACGACCTCAGCGAAGTAGTTGACGGCTTCATCAATAGATGAACACGTGTCAAGGAACTGCCAATCTGCCTGGGCAAGCGAATGACTCAGCGCGACGAAATCTGCTCTACAAAAGTCGAGCTCATGTACATCAACAGGGGGGCTATCGTAGCGAACAGGAACAGATAGGTTGATGGAAACTTCCAAGGTGTCGATGCCAATCAAAGGCTCTGGGGCTTCTAGGAAAGAACATTCCAGTCCTGCAGCTTCGTTCGCCATAACGAGATCAAGTAACCGAGAGTTGGTATTCAGTATCGAGTTGATTTGCGTTAAGCCATGCAGGTTGAAACCATCAAGGAGCACATGATGTCATGTTCGAGCGAAGAACATCAATGCTAGGAAGATCGTATGCAGGAACGTTCCATGAGAGCCCAAACTTTTAGTCACCAAATATCAGAGCTAGGTCGTTTTGTTCTAGTCGAGAGAACACGGTACCAATCGAATTGATGTGGTTTGCAATGCTGCTCGAATCAGATTTCCGTTCTATAGGTAGATACATAGCGCCAATACTTATTGATCTACGAGGCGTCGTTATTTTGACCCACATCTGCTCTAGAGAAGTGCAAACTGGAGCAGGATCGATGCAGGAGCTTAGGCGTTTGGATACCGCAATCAAGACGCCTCCCCCACGCGATTTGGTACTATTCTGGTGGTTGCGGTCGTTTCGAAATACCGTGAATAGACTGCTAAATAATTGAGATGAATTAATGCGGTCATCGAGCCAAGTTTCCGTAAAAACTATGACATCGTAGTCAGAGTCAACGGCAGTCAGGAAAAAATCATCAATCTTTGTTCGCAGGCCACGAACTTCTGGGCTTCCGATCGGTGGTCAACCGTTCTTCGAACCGCTTAATCACTCGCGACACCGTGGAATTCGCGATTCCCAACGTTTTAGCGATGGAACGATGCGAGAGATCCTTGTTCTCGTGATGAATGCGCAAGATTTTATCACGCACGAGCTGTTCTTTCGACTCCATTTCCGTGAGTTTTGATCACAGGACTTTAAAACTTGCAGGATGTAAATAATGCACTATGAACTAAATCCACCCAAATTTTCATTAATTCATTTTCATCTACCCAACGGTTAAAAAGTTAGAGCAATTTCATAGTGTGGCAATTTCATCGTGGACACCCTTTAATACACCAACAGGCGGTCGAACGAAGTCGGTTGGAGGTCTGCAGAATGATCGATCAGCCTCTGTAACACAGAGACGGATCAGGAGAAGAACTGTTTTCAACAAACGCATACTTGCCTGATGTAGAAGGTTGGAAGACCCCTTCACCATTCTCAACCACAGGGCCAGAACGACTACGATGACAGGAATCAGCAAGCGCGACTGGGTTGAGTGGCTCAGGGGCTTCCTTGAGGCAGCAGGCAACGCGTTCTGATCTGGGATGTTCCAAAACGTGGCGAGCAAGATCCGGTGCAGTGCTGTATGTCCCATCGGTGGCATCGGTGATGTGGGATTTGAAGCCATCGGAGTATGACGTTTCAGTCGAACCAGCCGGTTGTTGCTCTTGAGGCGGTGAGGCGCTGGAAGCAACGAACGAATCAGGAGTGGAACTGGTGATGACACGAACATACTTGCCTTGAGTTGCGGGTTGGAAGACCCCTTCTCCAAGCCCACACACAGGTCCAGCACGACTGCAGGACGATGACTGGATTAACTCGACTGTGGCGGGAGAAGAAGGGGCTTCCACAGTGCTAACTTCAATGCGTCCCAGAGTGTTCAGGTGACAGGCGGGCGATGCATAGTTGATGGTTGGTAAAGCGCTAGAACCAAAGGACGAATCAGGAGCGGGACTGATCATGACATGAACATACTTGCCTTGAGTTGCGGGTTGGAAGACCCCTTCTCCAAGCCCACACACAGGTCCGGGACGACTGCTGGACGATAACTGGAATGACTCGACGGTGACGGGAGAAGAAGGGGCTTCCGTAGTGCCAACTTCAATGCGTCCCAGAGTTCTTAGGTGTGAAAGCAACCTTGCAGCTATCTTCTTGATGCATCTATGGGACGATGGATCACAAGTATAGGAAGACGAAAACTTAAAAAAAAACATTCAGTTACCATTTTAGCAACAGAAAAACGTAGAATAGCAATCCTTACTAAATCGATTTTTATCGTTGCCTTTCTTTTCAGATCTCCCGGTACCTGTTCCACTAGTCACATGAATTACCAGTAAGTATGCTCCCTCCATTCTACACTTTATGTGAACGAAATCCCCTTGGCGCATTAAAATTTGAGACAACTCGCTCACGCTGCTCACGAGCTGGCTTCCGAGTTTTCCGCGCCCTCGCCGGGGCAGCATCTCAAGCAAATAAGAATTCAAGTCACGAACTTTGTTTGCCTCGTGACTTCATCCTCCTCGGTGAACCGAACTTTTTGTAGACACGTTGGATTAAGCTTTCTTCGCTCGAAAAATGCGGAACGGCGAGCTGGTCACAATAAAGTCAAACATTTAATTCTACACTCCCGCCCCAGTTATGCTCCTTCCTGGGTCGGTTCGTTTTCCACACGAAACATTCCAATATGTGTTTTTATGCGCCCGAAAAGCATAATCGTGAACTCGTGTAGCATTTTATTTGCCTCCTAGAATCGAAATTTGGTTTGCTAGGAAACGGAGGAAATTGTACCGTTCGTTTCGCTTCGTTTCGTGCTGGGGACGAAAATCAGCCTGTGTTGGCAATTTTTTTTTTCGAATCTGTCGGACTGTTTATTTTGATGTTCGATTCATTCCAATCCGATGATCTCTTGTCACGCTGCGAGAAAAAAAAAGATGAGAATGCTGAAGCCAACTGATGATAAATAATCCGTTTGACTTTATGCAAAGTGGTCGATGGCCGATGGGTGGAGTGAGTGGGTGGGCCCGCAATGGGACCGAATGTCAGGAATGTCTCCCGAGCAATGAAATATTCATAAAAATCGTCCCGGTAAAGTTGGATGAAGAAGCATACCGTTGAGAGTAGTTGAGCAGCCAAACAGCCAACAGTCAGAGAGGGAATTATGGCTTTGGTATCGTCGTCGTCGTCGTCGTCGTTTGGAGAAAGATTTCTCGAGCAACAGTTTACCCTGTCACTGAAGCGAGACAATTTATTTCTTATTGATATGGCAGGTCTGGTTTGGGCAAGTAGTCTTCCTTCGGGAAATGTCAGCTTAGGAAAAAATGGTTTGATTTCATATGAACATCAAGGATGATGCGGGGGATTGAAGCTTATACCTTCTACGGTAAATATCTCACCACCCCGTAATTCTAGATTACACCATCTTTACAAAAAGACAATCCTCCCATATCGGATGGCAACATATTCCCGTACAGCCGTCGTCAGTCAAGTGGTTTCCCCCCGCACCGTATCAATTAACCCACGAGATTGCATTGTGCGATAACACTGTGGTTGATTTTTCGCCTTCAACTCTCATCAGCCGCCGCAAATCTTCCCCAGATGCGCTGATCTATGCTAATTTCATTAAAAGCGATATTACAATCGCGTGTTTTCATCGTCTTCATCTCATTGCCCCCCTCCCACAGGCTCAGCTCATTTCATTTTCAGCATCCAAACAATTTTCGCTATCGTTTCACATTTCACTTACCACCGCAGAGCACTGGCTCAATTGCGATGCGTTTGTGAACATTTGGAGAAATATGCAAACAAATGAAAATAGCGAACTGATAGGCGGGCGAAACAAGATGAATCTTCTTTCTTTTTCTGCAAATTAGTGGGCTGATCGTCGACGACGACGACGGCGACGTCGGCGGAAAATGAAAACTCTTCACTGTTCCTCTTCTCCTCCCTCGTGCTTCCGCTTGCTTTCATACGGTGGATTCAATTGTGGAAGGAAAGTTTTTCATTCATTTTCACGTCTTGTATTTCCACCATCTTACGCGATAGAAGATGCACCTCCGCTTTTCCGCTCCCTTTTGCAGTTTATCACATGTGGGAGATCACCTGGTGAGACGATTTAACTTTCAGTTTAATTTCTAATTAGCAAAGTTTAATTATGTTATTGCGTTTGTTTAGCCCAGACCGAAGCTCGGTTTTCCCAATGCTTATATTTTTTTTCAGGTTTTGTTTTACTTTTGATTTGTTTGGATAACATTTCCTCCTCACTTCCTTCGGAGAGCTGTATGTTGCGATGTTACAGGGGGCAAGTTGTAAGGTTGATATATTGCTGCACTTGATTAAACACTGAGCTAACCACGCACCGACCGGTTTCCGCTGTTTTGTGTTAGTTGGAATTTATGTTTTCGATGGATGAAACCATCGCTTCTGGAGGTGGGCTGTGGTGTGGATCGGTTGAGGGGCACATTCGAAGGCCGTGGTAGGCTTGTATGCGAGGTGCTTTAACCTTATGCTTAATTAGCGATTGCACCCGAGGTGGAAACAACATGAAAGTGATAGTAAATTATTCATGTAAACATTGCAAAACAATCTTGATCTGCGTTTCCTCATAAGGTTGCCGGAAAGGAGCCATAACAAGCCTAGTTTGTTATGGTTGTTGTTGTTTTTTTTTTTTTTTCATTTTGCATGTTTAGTCGAATCTTAGAGGTTTCTGTAAGTGTTTGAGCGAACCGCGAAATCTTGGAAGAGAAATAATCATTTTTCTTTATAATGGATGTACAAGTTTATTATGAATAATATTTGTTTTTTCAACACATTTAACTTAAACATTCGTTATATTTTCTGAGCCACGCAGGTTTCAACTTTATCAACTTTTAAAAGTAGGACATTTAGAATTGGATTAATATCAACCAATTTCAAACCAAATATTTTAATTGGTAATCAAATCTTCATTGGCGTGCACAGGGTGGGCATGGTGGGACAATTGCCCCACCTTTTATAAATAAATATATAGCCTGAAAATTGCACCACAAAGGTGCATGAAGGGACAAACTTCAATGAATTTTTTTGGTCAAAAAATTGCATTACATTCCTGGTGTAATTTTTTGACGTAGGACTACGTTTTTTAATCCTATATGGGAGTACACTTTGTGAAAACTGAAAATGGAATATGTAACAATTTAAGAAAGATTTTGAACGTTAATAACTCAGCTGCCCTTGGTCTAATTTCAATAATTTTATCACCAATCGATCAGAAATATGGCTACGCATCGATAACAATGCTTCCGAATGTTGATTTTCAACAATAAACTATTGAAAAACTGGTAAATGTCCAGCATTGTCCAAAAGCATTGAATTAACTAACAAATCCACCAATTACCTACATGCACATGCTGCTTCCCCAGCACAGTTGTCAGAGAGTAGTAAGTAGACGAAACAAGTCGAAGTGGGATTCGCCTCCGATCCTCGGGCGCGTGCGAATAGGGAGGATGGAATTGCGTAATATTTTGCACACTCATCGCCATATTCAGAACCAAACGCAAATTCTTTGAGATAACTACCATCCGTCTGGCTCGCCGTGGCGCTGTCTGACGTATCTCCGGCAGGATTTACGAGGTGTGCTGAAGGTGTTCCTGAAAAATGAGATCCGTGATGCTGTCACCTACACTAAACACGCCAAGCGTAAGCGGCCATGGATGTCATCTACGGTTTGAAGTGACAGAGACGCACTCTGTTTGGTTTCGGAGGTTAAATCATCACCAACTTTGGCAACAAAACGGCTCTTTTCAGGGCCACCAAGCTTATTACAGTAAAGAGTAGGAATAGAATTCAGCTGCCTGTTTGTCCATATTCAGAACCAACGATCACACAAAATGCTCATGTAATCAAACTGGAAGCAGGGGTACAAATTATGTTGATCAACCTTGATCAACTTTGTATCGCCACGGCCGGATATTTTCGATGGAAGAAGGAACAATCTAGCATCTAATTCGACGAAGACGGCAGGAAACTTTTGTGAAGCCGAGTTATTTACGAAAGAGAGTGTTGATGAAGAGAATCGATCAATGCAGATAGGACCTTTAGTATATAGAAGTTTTGTTATCTCAGAAATAAGAAATAAAGTGCAGGAACTCAGTGATGAGGAAATTTGCTTCATATTTTCCCAGATTTTTCCAGGATTTTCCAGGGAAAAATTCCCGAATTTGAGGAAAGTAAAGATTGAATTCACTCAGTCTATTGATACTACTCCGAGACTGAATAAAATTTTCGTCAATTTCCTCATTTTCTGGCAGATTTTTTAGGTTTTCCACAGGAAACCATGAGACAAATTTACTCATCGCTGAGTTCCTGCACTTTTGGCGATTATGAGTGAACTAAACTCAAATTTGGGTCGTTCTCATTCGCCGTGTACGCAAAAGGAAAAGAGCAAGTGTCGCTACTTGATAGCAAACTACTCATAATGGGAGGAGTCTTTGTAGCTTTTATACCACTTGGTTGCACATCATTCTGCTTTAACCTCAAAAGATATAAAAGAGCGCTGCTGTTTCACTTGAAAATTCATACATGTAAACCACACAAACACAAGAAATAAAGATAATTTAAAGTCAAAAAGGCATTAGCTCATTTTCGCTTCGGACGCCGTGGTGAACAGCAATAGCAGCAGTAGGAAGATGGTGGCTAGTCCACTCCTTCACACCTAACAAGCAACAATTGACTGGTCGAGACAAAGGATGAAAAGGTCTGGTGAAGGAGGCGCCAAGCGTCATCGCAAAGTTCTTCGAGATAACCGCCATCGGTCGTCTGGCTCGCCGTGGTTGTGTCAAACGTATCTCCGGTCTGATCTATGAGGTGTACTGAAGGTGTTCGTGGAAAATGAGGTCCGTGATGCTGTCACCTACACTAAACACGCCAAGCGTAAGTGGTCATGGATGTCCTCTTCAATAAAACGGCCGGCCCTTTTCAGGGCCATCAAGCTTACATCAGTAAAGAGTTGGAATAGAATTTATCTGTGTTTGTGTGTCCATATTCAGAACCACAAGCCCCCAACGACCACAAAAATGCTCTCCAGAGTTGTAATCTTGTAACCAAACTTAGAAGCAGCGGTGCAAGTGATTTTGATTGATTCTCTTAATCAATTTTCTCTTTGAAAAAAATACTACAAATTTGGTAGGCCTACAATTCAAAAACGGAAAGAGTTGAGATAATTGATCAATTAAAAGAACTAAATGCTCTTCACATTTATTTCGTCAACTAGCGGTCCTACGTCAAGCTTCCGTTCGTGCCCCTAGGCACAGACCCTTCTACTTTTTTTCAATGTTGTTCATGGAGGGTTAAAAGAAA